TATTCATCCTTCAAAAAAATTTTTCATTCATTCATTCTTTGTTTTCATTTTTACGTTCAAAGCATATATTTTATTTATTTATTTACAAAAAATTATTTTATTTTATTATTTTTAATTATTATTTCATTTTGTACATCCTCTTACAATGCATTTGTTTTTTTATTTTTTTATTTCACTTATTTCATCATCTAATTATGCATTCTCTCGGTTCATATTATTATCTTTCATTCATTCATTCATTCATTCATTCATTTGTTCGTTCGTTCGTTCGTTCGTTCGTTCATTCATTCATTCATTCATTCATTCATTCATTCATTCACTCACTCATTCATTCATTCGCTTATTCAATCATCCCTCCATCCACTAATTTCACTAACAACCGAACTTCAAACAGCTGTCGGATGCCCTCGTCCCAACCATCCACACACAACAATGGAGTACCTCACCGCATCATCATCATCGTCGTCGTCGTTATCATCATCAGGATCTCCATCATCATCATCATCATCACCGCATATGACGTGGCAAGATGGCGACAGTGCCGCCATTTTCTGCCAGTCGACGGGCGACACGTGGTACCTGACCTGCCATGGCGATAATTGGGTCGGTCACGTGGGAAACTGCTCGGAAGTAGGTCAGTTGGGGTCAAGGTCAATATTAGGGGAATAAGGTCGTTTTGAAGTTAAAGGTGAAATTTAATTTAAGGACCTTTTGTTATTTATTGATGATGATGTAGTTTTAAAAAATTTTATTTTTGGCTTGACATTTTTAGTAACTCGTGATTTGTATGAAATTTCTTTCATTTTTATGTTTTTTTTAAATTATTTGCATAAACGCGCAATATTTTGCCGAATTTTTACCAGTTTCTACAGATAGATTCAATGGCTTGGTACCTTGGTTCGACTGCAAACAAAAACATTATACGCACATCAATTTTTATTCACCGCAAAAATCAAACATAGACAAATTTCTCAAGTTATAAATGCGTTTCATTCCGTCATATCGTTATTCTAGACCTGTTTGTGTCATTTTTAAACATACATTTTAACAAAACGAAAAAACTTTGTCGTCACCAAAACTTTTTCTACTACATCTACCCCTCTGAGCTGGCTCTAAAAGAAGATGGGCGGTCATTTGGTATCTGCCCCGTAACGTTTAAAAGACCCCTTAGAAAGTTATAAATTTGAATTGTAATAGAAACCGAATGTTATATTGCCCGGGTCTTAAAATGGTTCTAAGGTTCTCGATCACCACCAACGCTACTACTACTACTGCTGCTGCAACGTTTACTGCTACTACTACTACTACTACTACTAACTATGCGACTACCACTACCAATAATGATAATAAGAAAAGTGAGAAACAACACTAACAACATGCCTCTCTCTTTCTCTTCCTCTCTTTCTCACTCTCTCTCTCTCTCTTTCTCTCTCTCTCTCTTTCTCTCTCTCTCTCTTTCTCTTTCTCTCTCTCTCTCTCTCTATTATTTAGTATCTTTTTTTGTCGCTCCGGGACCAGCGAACTTTTAAGAAAACAAAAGCATATTCATAACGTTGAATCATGTGCTTTCCTTAACCTTAATCACTGGCCGTCAAGGCGCCTGACATCTGGCGATTGTTATTTACGCGGCAGTCCGTGATTTTTGTTTTTTAAAATCCGGAGATTTAAAATTTTTTGTTTTTTGAAAATTTGTTTGGAAAATATGGAAGAAAACAATTTAAATAGTTGTTTAAAACGTGAAATTTGTTAAAGTAGCTTGGGTAGATGTGCGTTTGTGTGTGTGCGTGCGTGTGTGTGCGGGCGCGCGAGTGTGTGTACGTGTGTGAGTGTGTGTATTTGTGTGAAAAACAAACTAATTCGAAATGAAATTAGGATAAAAATTTTCTTAATTTGTAAAATGAATTCACCACGCATCTAATTCTGAAATACCAGTGCATCACGTGCCAATGGCTAATTCAGTCCAGCATCCATTTTGTAGAAATTTTTATCAGGCATTTTTATCTAGAGACCACACACACACACAGACACAAAATACAAAGTACACAATATAATACTTTTAAATTCCATACAAGGCGACTATAAAATTACAAAAAAAAATAAAGGAAGATACAAGACAAACAAGAAAATACCAAAAAACACAAAAAAAATTAAACAAACCAAACCATTCAAATGTCATTATAAATACCTTGTAATACAATACATTACAATAACACAAAAACAATATACATAGCCGCGCACACAAACTTGTGTTCAAAATTATACACACACACACACACACACACACAAACGAACAAAGCCTCACGTGATCTGAGTGACGTCATTACGATCAGTTCGGGATTAACGGGTTGTTGTGATGTGCCGGGCGTCTGTCGTGTGTGTGTGTTTGCTGAGGTGTGGAAGTTTTGAAGAGTGTTTTGTCAATAGTGTATAAGATGTACGTGTGGTATCTCTTTGGGTATTATTTTTGTGTGTGTTGTTGTGTGTTGGGATTGGTGTGTGTGTGTGTGTTTGTTTGTGGTGTGTGTGTATATGTGTGTGAGTTTGTGGTCTTTCGTACGATGTGTTTGTTTGTTTGTTGTATCTCTTTGGGTATTATTTTTTTGTGTGTTGATGTGTGATGGTATTGGTGTGCGTGCGTGTGTGTATGTGCGTGTGTGAGTACTGAGAATGAATAATAATAATAATACTAATAATAATAATAAAAAAAATAATGAATATAGAACAAGTGTCTTTCTTGTTATTTAATACATCTCCGAGTGTCTATTTGGCAGAAGAATGATTTAATGGAAGTAATATATTATACCAGCCCTGCCTACTGCATTTGTCATCTCGACTCATTCATTTTCTCGTTCAGTCGTTCGTTCTTCATTCATTCATTCATTTATTCATTCATTCATTCATTCATTCATTCATTCATTCATTCATTCATTCATTCATTCATTCATTCATTCATTCATTCATTCATTCATTCATTCATTCATTCATTCATTCATTCATTCATTCGTTCATTCATTCATTCATTCATTCATTCATTCACTCACTCACATACACACTCACTCACTCATTCATTCATTCATTTGTTTTGTTTCCTTTCCCTATCGTTTTTTTGTTCGTTCATTAGTTCTTACATTCATTCATTTATTAATTTGCATGATTGTTTAATCTATCAAAAAACCATTCACCGATTAATTATCTCATTAATTTATTCATTCATTCACTCATTTATTCATTCATCCATCCGTCTATCCATTCATCCATCCATCCATTCACCAAACCATCCACACATTCATTCATTTATGTGAATGTATATTTATTCAATCCATTAATCAAAGATGAATTTATTTACAGAGGCAACAACTTTCCATCCATCTATATTTTTTTGTTATCCAATCCAAACACTGACACACACGCACACACATACATAGACACACACATAAACACACACACACTTAAGCGCACACACACACACATACCTACGTGCGGGTATAAACAATGGTTGCAAAATCCAATATGGACTCTTTAAATTAATTGAACGGTATAAATTGAATAAATAAATAAATAAATATATATATATATATATAGAGAGAGAGAAAATAACGAAGGCATATAATAAATATTATTCAATCATTTGCATACTGAAAGGCACACATACACACACACACATCCACTTACACATGGATGTGTAAGTAAGTGGATGTGTGTGTGTGCGCGTGTGTGTGCGCGGGCGTTCCGGAAGCAATTAAATTAGTGAAAAATGCAAAAACATTCAGGTATTTTTTTCACTTTTAGCAACTTTTTTGTAAATTTCTAACTTTCATTACTCTCCGTGAATATTTCATCCATTTATTTCAAATATTTTCCCGCTTCTCGTTATAAATTCCAAATCTGTTGTTGAAATTTTAGTAGATAATTAAATTTATCTATTTAATTATAGTTCTTTAGACATATATTGTTATATAATTACTGTTTTTTAAACCATTTGGAAGCATTTTTCACAGATAAAAGTTTATTTATAATAAATAATTTGAGTCTAATTAATTTCTAATTGAAGTGAAATGAATTTCAGACCAAGGGATGTCCTTATTGGACGAAAGCAGTAACAAATTAACGGGGAATAAAGAGCTAACTAACGGTCAGATTAGTATTTTTATAATTATAACAATTAATTATTAATTAATAATGTATTAATTAAATGATTAATATTAATTAATTAATTTATAATGTATTAATGATTAATATTATAATGTTGTCTCAATTGCTAACAGGCTTTTTGTGTAATAATATAAGTTGATAAAATAAAATAATAATAAGAACTATTATTATTATTATTATTACTATTATTATTATTATTATTATTATTAAACTCATTCGAAATAACGCCTATTGGTTTTTACAATAATTTTAATTTGTCACTGTTTAAAGTTCCATGGCTGTTATAATTTAATGATAAATTGATAAACACTGTTATAAGATTATCGTATGACATTTACTGTGACAGGAACAAGCTATGATGCTAATTAAATATATTTCACCGTTCTGCACTTAACTTCACAATGAGCAAAATGGTCTTAACCTTTAATATTATTTTATACAATTTTTAAAAATTTTATCATTATATATATATTTTTTTATCTATATATATATATTTTTATAATTGTCTGTTTTTTTATGGTGAAAAATAAAAGATGTTCCCATTATTATTATTATTATTATTATTATTATTATTATTATTACTATTAATTTCCTGGACATATTTTCAACCGAATGACGTAAAAAAAATTTTTTGTTCTTGCCTAATTGGGTCACTAATTAACAAATGATTGAATGAGTGAACGAAGGAATGAATGATTGATTCATTGAATGAATTAATGATTGCAGTAGTAGTAGTAATAGTAGCAGTAGTACCAGTAGTAGTAGCAGTCGTAGCAGCAGCAGTAGCAGTAGTAGTAGTAGCAGTAGTAATAGTAGTAATAGTAGTAGTAGTAGTAGTAGTAGTAGTAGTAGCAGCAGTAGTAGTAGTAGTAGTAGTATTAGTAGTAGTAGCAGTTGTTGTTGTTGTAAACAAACAAACATTAGTGATTGTAGAATTAGCAAAAATCTATCTATAAATTAATGAATGATTGAATGAATGAGTATAAATGATTGACAGGTGCTATAGCGGCCGTATTGGTAGGCGTGGCCACCGGATTTACCATAGGGATGTTTCTCTTGTTTGCCATCATACTTACTAAAAAAAGGTTCGGTATATTTTTTTACCTATGTATTTTTTATCTATGTAGTCTTGGTGTTTCTTTCATATCTATGTACGTTCGGTATTTTAGCTCTATGTAGTTTTAGTATATTTTTTTTATCTATGTACGATTGGTATTTTTTTATCTATGTAGTTTTGGTATTTTTTGATATCTATGTAGTTTGATCCAATAATGAATCGCACAAAGTTTTTCTACATATACCTGTTTTTTCAGCTTTCATTTTTATTAATTATTAAGTTGGTTCTTTCTATCTTTTGTTTCTCTATCTCTCTCATCTCTCTTTCTCTCTCTCTCCCTCCCTTTCTCTCTTTCTCTCTCTCTCTCTCTCTCTCTCTCTCTCTCTCTATCTCTCTCAACTTTCGCTTTCTTTCTTTCTTTTGAGTTTCCATTAGTCTTTCCTTCTCAGTTCTTAATTCAGATTCATTTACTTCATTGAATTTTCAAAAAAAAAATAAATTTGTTAGTACGAACTTATGCTACTAACCTTGTTGTGAGTTAAAATAAATAAAACAAACACAATTCAGGCGTAATAAAATATTATCTTTATTCTCACGTGAATCTCCAACCGTTTCGTTTACAAGCTATCAGGAAAAAGGAAAGAAGTCGAGAGAGAAGCAAAGACATAAAAATTAACATAGATTAGATAACATTGAAATTGCAATAATCTTTAATAATAATTTATATGTGAGATAGTTTATAAAAGAATGTTTGATCCCTACAAATTCTTCCAATTTTTCATCTCATTCCATTAAAAAGTTTCAAATGATTTTTGAAAAAAAAAAATTTAATTTTGAAAAAAAAAATCGAAATTAATTTCACGGAATAAATTGAGGCAATTTTTAACTTTTTATCATCAGCATCGTCGCCATTTCTGTACCTTCATCATCATCTTCATCAGCAGCAGAGGCGGCAGTGGTAGCTTCTTCATTGTCATTGTTGTCATCGTCATCAGCATCATTAACAACAACAATAAGTGCGACTATGACAGAATTAACAACAATCATACAATCATAACATCGAACCAAATGCAATCAACATTGTAGAAGAAAAATTGAAATAATTTCCAAACCAGCATAAACAACAGCAATTATTTTCAAACATAAACAACGTTTAAACGCGCGCAACAACAAAAAAAACACCAACATCAGAAAATAAATAAACAACAATACACCAGTGACAACAAAAACCATGGACAACAAAACGCCATAAATAACAAAAAACTCCAACGACAACAAACCACCATAGAAAACAGATCACCATAGACGACAAAACAGCAGAGATAACAAAGCGCGTAAAATCGCTTCTATTTTCGCTCGCTCATTCAAGAGAAATTTTCTAGCGCCTCATTCAAATAAACATCAATTTGCGACAAATGTTAAAATGCGCCATCTCTCGAGCAATTGATGTAGCATTAATTTCAAATCCCCTATAGAGAACCATTGAATCCCAATCTTCTTCCGGTTTCCGCTGCTGCTGTTGATGCTATTGTTATTGCTTTTGCTATTTCTGTCATTACAGAACCACTTCTGTTGCTGCTACAGCTGCTTCTGTTGCTACCACTGCTACTTCTCATACTGCTACTTTTATCTTTGTTACTGCTACTGATATTTGTTACCGTTACATTCCCAAACATTCAAGATCAGTACTTTCAAATGGTTGAATGGGCGGTTAGTTGATTGGTGGAATGATTTTTAAATTTTCCCAACAGTTACAATAACTCTCGGTGTTGCAGTAACTCTAGCGGCATGTTTCACAACAACAACAACACAAACCGCCTAGCAGCGGCAACTTGCAACAACAACCACAACTACTTCACAATGGCGACCACACTCGGCAACACTTTCTGCAACAAAAAAATGTTGCAAAACTACCGAAACGAACTTGTGGAGCAGAAAATTGACCTCTTTGATATCAAAAAACAATCGTTAATTAGCAACATCAACAGCAACAAATTCAACAATGACAACAACAAATTCTGCAACAGCAACGTCATTATCAACAAAAACGCCATCAACAGCAACAAAGATGACGTCACCAAATTGTCAGTAGGCAAGGTTGTTGACGTCGGTGAAACAAAAATAAACAACGACATGACATCATCAACATTTTCAACGGCGTCAACAATCATCGGCAGTTTGAATTTTGTTGAGCAAC